CAGGGAAGGTCTTGTACAACTGTAGATGATGCTTGTCACTGATGCATCAACTGGCTACATTTTTTCTCATTCATCACTGTACGTTCTATCTTACTGGTTCAGCTGGTCCATTAGATGAGGTATTGTCTAAAAATAATATTAGTGTGACATCGTGCTTCCTACTGAAAACTCAAGTAAAATACTGTACCTTCTTGTGTCAAAGTAGTATTACTCTCTTGAACATTTACTCTATATCAATATAGTTTTTTTGTTGTTGTTGTTTAAAGAGGATTGCAATCTAGGTTTTCTATTTGCAGTGAGTGTTTGTACTTACTTCTTAACATCATGTGTTGTGCTATCCTTTTGTTTAATTTCCTGTGTTAAAATTACTAGTGTACAAAATGTAAAACAATTATAACTCTTCCGAATTTTGACTAACAGAGGCACTGAAAGAACATGATTTATGAGATGTAACTATGAGAGGGGAATATATTGACTGTGTGTGGTTAATAGATTCTGAAAAGCAAGCAAAACAAAGAGTGACACCACACCTCCTCTTATCTATTTGATTAGGCAGTGTTGGAGGGAAAGTCTTGTGATGAAACATTGCTGGGGCTAATTATAAGAAATATCCAACGAATTATGAGTTCTGCCAAATGAATCGCCTCTCCCAAAGTCTAATCTAATAATGTTCCATGAACACACATGAATACTAGCATCTATGTGAATGTTAAATTATTTATATTTGGACTGAAAACAAACATAAGAACGCTGAGTCCTGAAGGCGGTCATCAGAAAGAGTTCTGTTTGTTGTTTGTTTTTTTTTTGTTTTTTTAAGAGGAGTACTGTGGGATACTTGAGTGGTCAGGAGCTCAACAGTTAACGTAATCCTTGTTTTTAAAATAAGTGAAGAACTCTTCTCAGTGAGGTAAGTTAAAAGCTTCTCAATACAGGGACAAACGAAAGATCAAAATTTCATGACCCAACTTCTTTCAGATTCAGATTCTGTTTTTGAATCCCAAAATAACAGCAAGATTGTAGAATGGGATAATTATTAAAGAATACACAACATATTTATTGGAAGAATACAGACATGCTGTACAGAGGATACATTGGGAAGCTCCAAAAATTATAAATTGACTCAATGATGTAATAGAAAGCACTGTGTCTACTATTTACTTGTAAACAATTTACAAGTAAATTGTAAACTATTGTATTACTGTTCTATGTTATACAATAGGAGGGAAAGTTTCAAACAGAAACTGAGTTATGTACCTTTAATATTCAATAAGTATATGAAGCTTTTTAGTATTGTATGAGGTTGGAATTAAGCAGCTTTGTTGACCATCACTATCATGTACAGAGCCAGAATAGGAGAGTTCATCTATATACCAAAAGAAGTGAAGTGGCATTTATGTGTTAATTTCGAGGTATCAGATTCCCAGGTTGATTACCAACTGGGTACAGCTCTGTTTGAATCTTTCTGTTCAACCTTTGAAAAAGGCTTAAATATAAGATACGATTTTCCACTGCCATACATTCTTTTCACTCAGAATTGTGTGACCATTTGGAGTTTTTTTTTTTTTTACCCTCTGATGCTGTTCATTAGGGAAACTTCTGTTTTCTGCTTCCTCTTTGCTCTCAAAACCTTAAATCGTTCTGTCATTGTGGAGTATATTTCCATCCATTTATGGCACCTCCAAAAGACAAGAATAGGGCATTCCTCCTGAGGAACCGAAAGAGCTGTTTCCATTCTTCCATTTATGCCTCAACTCTCACTACCTCACTAAGATGTTAGGAACAAGCAGGTGTTTGGAAAAGCAATGTGATATGCTACCACATTTAAAAAAAAAGCATCACTTGCAAGACTAAAAATGTTATGCAATAGTAATTTGCCGTCATCTGAGCCAGAGAGCTACATTTGTCCAACTGCATTGGTTCAGGACTGTTTTGTGTATGAGCTGTAATTATGTTGCTTCATCTACCACTTCATTGTCTTTTCTCTTTTGATTGGGGAAAATGGATTGATAGGAGAGATGCAATCAGAGGCATATGTTTTTCATTATTGAAAAGGACATCACGAATTAAGTCTTTTTCACATAATACTTGAAAAAATGACAGACTTTATTTAAATTATGTGGACATACAGTTTGAACCAGAGGTTTGCATATACTTTTCATTGGGATAAATACCTTTAATATTTTCGGCTTTTAACAGTGCATTTGGATTTTGGTGGACTAATTTTACAAAGTACAACTTTATTGATTTAGCAAATACAAAAGCATGGTGTGCAACTTGTGGATTTTCAGTTGTCCATGCAGAGTCAAAGACATGTGCAGACAAGTTCAAACATCTCCAGTAATGTTTGGTGAAAAGTCTCTTAAGTCATAACTTGTTAATATACCCCGTTTTTGCACTTTCACTGATGTATAGAGACATGAGAAAATTAGTTATTAGACAAAAAAAATAGTTCAATCATTGGGAGAGAGTGGAGGATGGAATGAAAGAAAACTTTGAAAGATGAAGAAGTTTTGTTTTAGGGAAAATGAGGGAAACAGTTAACAAGGAAGACGCAGGAAAAGAAATAGACAAATGCAGACTGATAGACAAATAGACACACACTCGTGTATATACACAGGCAAAGACAGACAAAGGTCACACTGCCATCCCCGCCACCGGTGCTCAGACAAACTGCTAGTAAAATGCTCTATTTCCCATCCAAATTAAACTGTCAGTTAATATTAATGTGAAAGTGAAGACTGTCAGCCACGCAAGATGCATACACACAAACACATACGCAAACAGCTTTTACGCCCAAACACACTGACACAAATGCAGAATTTAGAATCTCGCCTGGTCAATTACTGGCAGCCGAATGTGGCATGCACGCAGGTCACAAAGAGGTCTGTGTGATAAGAGTGTGTGTTGTGTTTTGTGTCTGTGTGCTTGTGCATAGCTTTGATCAAACCCAGTGACACATCTCCCATCAGTCACATGAAGGTTATTTCTGATTGAAGATGCAATTGTGGCACTCTATTTAATAAAACAAGTCAGAAAAACTGCCTGTGTGCGTATCTATATATTTGCTGCTATTTGTGCATATTATATAAGTGTGTTTGATCACATTTTCTTTAAATGAGCCAATGTGAGAGAGACATTTGCAGCTGGATCATGCGTTGCTTCAATCTTGGTGGAGTTGTATCTTTAAACATGATTTTTTTTTGAGTGGGTCTATTTTGTGCACGTGTGGCAACTGATTACATGCAATTCTGGTTGTGTTTGTCTTGGTGTATCTTGTTGGAGCAAATGGGAATGCAGAATAAGGGAGGTAGAAAATAATCCTCATGTATCTCTTTCTTCAACCGACCGGAACGTAGCTTTCGTGGCTTGTGTGAAGCACTCACAAACAAACACACACAAACAGAATACCCAGCCAACCATAAAATCATAATGTCAGACCTGTTAATGCCTTCAGATAGCAGCAACTGTAGCCGTGCATGCTTACTCCATAACCATAAATGCACACACAAACATAAATGTAATAAACAGAGACCTATCACTCTTTTTTGACATAATACTCTGCTGTGAGGAGTATCCTACATTTTTGCCTCTTCTTACTATAATAGAATTGACTGAAAATATCAGTTCCTTTATCCTGGTAATTCATAAGATCTCAATTTAGTAACGAGCAATAACTCTTAAAGAGTTACAGGTAGGTTGATTGCTTTCCACATCTATGCAAATCATAAAACTGTCTGAATGACAAATATACTTTAGGACAGTTTTCATTGCCGGACCTAAAAAGTGTTATTTGTTGTCCACTTATTTGCCATTTAAACACATAAGCTGAGGAAACAGATCATTTTAATGACTATCTTACCCAATTTTACAATTAGAGTTGTAAAATTGCAGATCCTCCATCCCTGATTGCATCATCCAATTTCTCATTCTGAATTGAACTGGCAACTTATAGTATCTCTCACTGTCAACAAGTGATGCTTTAAGTTTTATCTTTGTGCTAATTTTACTTTTTTGAACTCAATATTCGAAGTCAAAGTAATGAATTGCGGAATTTGAAAAGGTTTGTGGTATTATAAAACCACTTTATAAATTGTTTTTATTGCAGTAACTCAGAACTACTTGTCCTTATTTTTTTATGTTTGTCAACTGCAACTCTTTGCAACCAGGCTGCAAGCTTATTTGTTGTTGTGTGACAGCAATAATAATAGAATAGGAAGCATATATTTAATTTGTAGATTTAGCAATCTCCAAATTTTATTGTTGGATCTAAAAATATCTATAACTCATCTCTGGCTATGAGTAATTTTACTTTATTTTGAATAACTTTGAACTTTTTTGTTGTGTTTATCAGACTTGTATTCATTAATTACTTCATACAATGTGACTGGGTTAATTTTCTTGGCCTATTTATAATTCTTTCCAGTCTCTTAGCTCTCTATTTTAACTTCATAAATAAGGATGGCTTTTATCAGATGTAAATACAATTTGTGAATATATGACTGATGAGCCTGCCTTGTGAAAAAAAAATCTTTGTAAGTCAAAATGATGATATATTTTTCTAAGGGTGATGCTTGCTGTGGGTTAGTTTTGAACTCAATTACTGTGATACTAAGATTTAGACAAAGGAGATATGGAGGTTTCATCAAGGTTTAACAAACATATTGCAGTTATTTTTGCTTTAATTGTGGACATACTTCAATAATATGGTCATAATTTAAATTTATGTGAATAAGAAATTAAATGTCCAAGAAAAGTTGTTTTTTTTCCCCCCTAGGGAATTTCTCTTTTTTTGCCATGTTTTGTCAAAACTCATAAGAAATGATAAACCCAATCATACAGTATTTCTTTGAAATACATACAGTAAACATTTTGCATTATTTTCTGTCATTCACTGAAGTATTTATAAACTAAAAACTCACACAGTATCACCTGTCATTGTCAAAAGAATATTTAAGAATACTTGTATGAATGAAAAAAAAAAAAATCTACTGAAACTTGTTTAACCTTGTTTACCCCAGGTATGCCGGCTATGCTTCTATGTGTGAGAGACAAACACATAGAATAAATAAATGTCTATTTATTACAGTGTTTGTGACTAATGAGCAAATTTACCCCCAAGCCAGTAATTACTCTGCAATGTTGATCTGTTAGAGTTTTTAGCCCTGTGTATCTAATTATAGGAGCATAAACATAAACTTTTGCTTCTGGTTGCTGCCATGTTTGCTTTGGTGTGCTTTTCCATCAATCTTTACATCTGCCGCAAGCTCTGTGAGCTTGACAGGGCCAGGCTCAGCGCCACAGAGAATCACCCTGTCAGTTTTCATGTCTCAGCGTCTTCCCCCGGCGGCGTCACTCTTCTCCCTCGCTGCACAGATCAAAGAACTGACAGATGCCCCAATGTTGTCTCTCCCCTTCTCCCTTATATCTCTGACTTGCACTTTTTCTCAGTCTTAACCCTCTACCTCTGTCACTCACCATCTCTTTCTGTCCTTACAACCAGCTTTCTCCCTGACTACATCAGTGGGGATTTTGATTCCATTACACCAGAGGTTAAAGCTTTCTATGCAGACAAGGTGAGTGGATCAAAACTTCTGCACACAGTTGTTCACTGAGAAGCGATGTAACTTTAAGCAGTCATACTGCCAGACTGAGGATAAAAGATCCCCTAATATGCTGTCTGTTTCCTTTTAAATATAATTTCTGAGGTCTGAAAACATTCACATTACTTCTTTATATTAACTCCAAACACAATGTTAGCCACATTTTTTGGCACACATGGTAAAAATGTACTTTAAAATAAATGTATATTTTATTGCCATATTATTGCCAAATCGTTTGAAAAATACTTAGTTTGGGCACCTTTTTTTTTAAAACCAATCTTACCAATGCTGTCATCAAATTTATCATTGTCTGAATAAGTTTAAGTAGCTTATTCAGACATACAGATTCCAGCTGAAGATTAATAATTTAGCAACATTTCTTTCTTGTCCAAAATCGAACAAAAAGAGAAAAAATACTGATATCTAAGGGAGAATTTACTGTAAACTTACTCGTTTTTAATTTAAAACCAATAACCTATAATTTTATGTGCTCACTCTTTTTGTGAGACATTGTAAAAGTATTAAACAAATTGTAATAACACCACTATGATAATGTAGCGGTATAAATATAGTATGCAGATACTTGACTTGTAAGGTCATTTTAATTAGAATGAAAAGACCTACAGCAACCATCTTCGTCTTTTGTGGTCAGTTTTTTTTTTTCTTTTAAATTATGAATTGAACATAACTGGAACAAAAAAATTTCCAAGGGATCCACTGGTTAGATTCTACATCTTAGTCTTCACTGCCTTCTTTCACTATGGAGACAAAAAGTATCCAAGGTTAAAAAAGAAAATGCAAATTGATCTTTGAGGTGGTCTTTCCATTGTTTTTAGTCAGTGGAATGTCAAACTGCAGGCTCGATTCAATAAATTATTAATACAGGGGAAATCAGTCAAGCATACACACTTGCCTCCGAGAAAAAGAAATACAAAGCCTGTGTGGTCTTTGCGCTGTGTCACTCTATGCATTACTGGTGCAGATCTAAAACTTAAATATGCATGCACGTTCTCGCTTACACATGCTCACAACCTGCGCACACACCCCCAGATGACAGACATTGGGATTTCTTCAGGTTTGTCACTCTTTTTCACCTCCTCTGTCTCTATCACCGTTTTCTGAAATATCACACAGGTTGTGTAAAAAAAAAAAAAAAAAGAGAGCGATGCCTTTTTTGAGAAAGAGAACAGACTGTTATGGTAATGCTTTTGATGCAGAACAATTGGAAAGTTTGAGGCGTTCCTTCAGAGATTTGCCGCAAACGGTGAATAATTCTGCATAAATGGAAAAGAGAGAGAACAGAAAGGCAGCCACCAGGGAGGGGGAGACAATGAGAAAGCAGGGATGGAAAAGTGATGGAAGGAGGAGGGTAGTGAAGGTTGGATGGATGTGATCAAACGGAGTGCGGCGAGCAAGTTTTGTGTGAACTCGATTGTTGTATGTGTGTGCCAGTGATATGAGGAAGACGGCGTATTTTAGAAGCAAAGTGACTCTGTGGAGAGAAAAAGAGAATGGGAAAAAGCCATAGCCTGGTTGTTTACCTAGATGTTGTAGTTTAAGGCCACTGACTGGAACCTCTACATTATTCAACAACACAACCCGCGGGAAGCGAGACAGCACTAAAACACTGATTTATACCTCTCTCCATGTCTGCTTCCCTTTCTGTTTTCTTTCCTTTGTTATGCTTTTCCTTATCTCTCCCTTGGTTTTCCCTTTACTATCTGTATTGTGGTACAAATATTGAATCATGTTTTGTTGCTCTTGTGTGTGTTTTCATTTGCCATTGTGTCCATAGGGGTGCAGGCTCATAGAAACAGCTGACCAGGATCTAACCGACTACACCAAATGTCTTGTAAAAATGCTGGAAGAGATACAGACACGAAAGCTGCAGGTAAACTACACTCTGCTCAATTTCAGGCTTGCTTTTCATCCTGCTTCAGCTTCTAATTGACAACAGCTTTTTTTTATTATTATTATTTTTTTTATTATTATATACTTGACTGGATTCCTTGATGTGAAGATTCTCATTACTTAGTTCTTATTATATATATAAGAACCACTGCGGGTGGTTCTTATTCTCTGAGCTCAGGTCCTGGGAGCTTGAGGGTCCTGCGCAGTATTTTGGCTGTGCCAAGGATCGCACATTCTGGACTGAGATGTCTGATGTTGTTCCTGGGATCTGTTGTACTGAATATAGCCGGTTACAATTGTTACTTTTAGAAGGAAAAGGAGAAAAATTTCATGCCTTAGAATCTGATCCCTGATTAAAGTACAAAGATGGCAGTCTTATGTATGTTTTTTTTTTTTTTTTGCATTAAGTACTGGACCACTTCCCAAGATAGATGGCCTGACAAGGAAATTATACCAGAAAATATTAGGCTGACAAAAGTAGGAGTTAGTTGTTTTGCAAGACCGATATCAATCTGATGAGAAACGTTGTGGAGTTTCAATCTGAAATAACACCTTTCTCAGACAGCAGTCACAAAGTGCTTCACGGTAAACACAGTAAAAAAAAAAAATCTGAACTATGAAAACACAATGAAAGGGACATCTAAGAGATACACAATAGCAACACACAATTGCACAGGAGGCTGTGAGACTAAAATAGTTTTTTTATTTTTTTTCAGATTGTCTTAAATTGCTTTTTTAAAAGCATCAGTATAGTCCAACAATCGCAAGTGCTGTGGGAGTGTATTCCACAATCTTAATCCAACAGCTTGAAAAGATCTGACTGTTTCCTTTGTTCCTGAAACAAGTACGAGAGACCATGAGTGGGTTCTGCTCTGCCTGTTCTACACTCTGAATGTTTTATTTTAGAATAGCATAGTTCTATATACTCTTCTTAGATCATTTATTTAGAGTTTTAAGTGTTACAAAGATTCATTGCAAAAACACCAAATTTTAAGTTGTATGGACATTTAATGGTCGTTAATTTCTTGAACATAATCAGGGCCCTTTCAGTTTAGCAGGGAAGTTGAATATTTACTGAAGTTGCTTAATGCGATTGAAAAGGTTCCTATGTTACATTGATGTAATTATTGATCCAACACCATGACTCCTTGGTTAAAACAAGTAGTCTTTGCTGTCCTTCTTTCTGTCTGAATGTTTAGTTCCCTGAAGCAAAGTTTTCAGTCATCTTATGCTAAAGAAAAGATGTTCAGAGGTCAGTAGCGCCAGACTGTGTTTTACCAATGGCAAATTCCTGCTGGGATATGTGGGTGTATGGGTAATAATAAAAAAAAATAAAAGAAACAAAACAAAAACAAAGCTCACTCAACATTTCTTGGAGAAATAAGATTTGAGAAAATAACATTAGGTATTCTTACACCTACATATAAAATCCAGAGGGGCTTTTGACTCTTCTAAATTACAATATTTGACATATTTTGTTTCTTTTTCTTTTTTTTTCTGCCCTGATATTTGCAATACTTCCTTAAGCTGCAAGATAACAGAGCTTTGTGTCCAGTCAGATGTATATTCACACAGTGATCAGGCATAAGATGTCTTATTTCTTGTTTTTTCCCCCGCTTTTGTTCTCCTCTCTTTTATTATATATCCTTTTTTTTATTTTCTCCCTTATCACAGTAAGTACCATGTTGAGTGTTACCCCAATCACTGCAGAGTGTTCCAATCACTTCACATTTCTAAACTAATGAAAGACAAAGGGAAAGACACTTTGATGCACGCAAACTTTCACTTCTCATGTACACGCATGTAACCACGCTGTGTGCTTTTACATTGTTTCTGCTAGATTTGTCCTTCCCTTGTGTGTGTGTGTGTGTGTGTGTGTGTGTGTGTGTGTGTGTGTGTTTTTAGGATTTTTTCCTTGACTAATTATTTAACCAGTTTTGGGGTTTTTTTTCTGTTGCTGGCTATTTTTTTTTTTTTTAGTGCAACTGTTTGCAAAAGATAGGATCCTGGCAAAATGCTTTCTTTTTTGTCATTTGCTGATTTTCTTTGTCAGAAAGATTTTTCCTTCTTTCCCTTTATTTTCATACTTGAACTCTGGCTCTCTTTAGTACCCAAAATAGGACTAGAACAGCTAAACTTCTCTAAGAATTTAAGAAAATGCATTGTCATATTCCCTTCTTTTCACCTTTGCGAATTTCAATCCACTTAGCCCTTTTAAGAGAATGAAATATTTCAGTGAAATAATAGGATTTTAAAATCCCCGGGAATCGTGTCAGAGGATTATAGTGGATTTAGGTGCTTTTTCTTTTGGAATATGTGTACCCTGGCTGCAGGTACTTATCTCCTTAATACCATGCATGTGCTTTGGAGATGGCTGTTTTTTTTTGTGTCTATGCTTACAGTGAGGCAGCACCCTGTATTTTAATTTTCTGCTCTGCTATGATCTGTTCATCATTTTCCAACGATTCTCTCCGTTGATCTCACAGGCCTTTCTGCTTGATCCAACTCCTTCAGCCAAGCACAATAGAGAAAAGCTAATTCTGTACACCCTGTTCGTTGAAGTGTTCTTTATTCTCTCATAAATATCTTCCTTGCCCTGGTTTGTGGTTGATTTAGTGAATAAATACAAAAAAGAAATAACCAAAAAATAAAGCTAATATTTTTCAATAATGCACATTATAAATGATAAGGGAAAACGTATTTTGTGCTTTTCTCTTCACTTAAAGCACCTTACTTTAGGGCCACATTTACCCAGTTGCACTCACTAATGTGCATCTATTCTTGTACGCCCATCATTATGCAATTTAGTGTTCAGTGCCTTGCCCAGGGACACATCAACATATGACTAGGAAAAGCTGGATTGGAGCTCCCAGCTTTTAGATTGCAAGACAGCCACTTTACCGAGCCACTGCCCCCCGGTGTTGTTTCCAAACACCAGTAAAATGCAAGCAAAGGGAAGATTGAGCTCATTTGTTGAAGCTTGAAGCCTAATGCACAATGTCTTTCTCTCCTGTAACCTTACATTGTCATTCTGTCTTGCATGAGACATCCTATTCTCATGAGAAGCTGTGTTTTTAGCTTTCCTCTGATAGCTGTGAATTTTTTTTGAGCAACTTTACATCTGTTTTAAATAAGGCTAAAATTAAACATTAAACTCTATTTACTCCTGTTTAACTGGCACTCCCCTAAAGGTTTTGGTACTTAGGGGTTTGTAAGTTGCTGTGAGCCTTACATGATCTAAATTAGGACTGCACAATATTAGGAAATTATGAAAATAGGGATGATAAATTCATCTTTTTCTCACCAATGTCTCTCTCACATGTCATGCTTTCAGCACAGTAGGCATTTCATCCCAAAGGGTCCTTTGTAATATCAATAGTGCATGTACAAATATTGCATCGACAATATATATTCAACTGATTTTTGACCATAATGACACAATAGTATCACACATTTACTGTAGATTTATTTGGTGACCATGGAGGCAATTGGAGTGAACTCCTTCATATGTTCAAGAAACCTGTAGATTTTATTAGGGACTGTGATTTTGTTCTGCTGAAAGGACCCATAATATATGCACAATGGTTGCTTGCTAACTCTCAATGCAAATTTAACTCATTCTAACAGTATCTTTTATCTTAAAAATGTGAATTTTCCATTAAAAATAATGGAAATTGAAATTATTTCTTCAAAACCTTCCACCAACATTCAGCTTTTATTCAACACAAGAAATGGTAAATGAACTCAGCTTTTCTGAAGCAAAAATATTATGTTTTATTCTCAGCTGTGGTTCTTTTTGCAATAGACCCAAAGCAAAGCAAATTACAAAAATACTGTTACTGCATACATAAATCCTTAGAAGTTCAGGAAGTACCTGTGTCACTATTTCCATTCTGGGAATTGAAAAGATGTCAGTTCATAAACACATGCTTTTCCTTTTAAAATGTAAGGTCCCTTTACACTATAGTTACGAAGAATGGATCAGAATTGTTTGGGTTATGCTGTGCTATGAAGTGCTTTTTTTCCAAACATTGACTAATGAAATGTGTGTCAGCACACATTTTATTAATGGCACTGGAGAAATGGGAAAAATAACAAAGAGCACACATGTAGCCTATACTTGTGCAACAAAGCCAGGGTTGTCAGAGGCACAGAGGACTTTGCTCTGTACAAACACGCAGGCTAATAACATGCTATGCATTCATATTTAGAGAAATATTATAATCGGAGCAGCCGTGGATATTCACATTTGGAAAAAAACAAAAGAACAGAATAGATTCAGATTCATTAGTTTTTAGTGTTTTACAGAACTAAGGAATACAAAGAGTGAAATGAAAATATCTCTCACAGCATCAAACTATCTCCAGTAACTCAAACATTTGATTCATCATACTAGATACAATTTGCCATGCTGGTTTTGTTTTGCTAGTTCTTTGCTAACTATATTTCCTCATCTTTGCTGATCGAAGTGGCAGTTGGTGAGGTCTCCTCTTCTGTTGCCCACCTCCTTGAAGATTTTATGTGTTGTGCCTTCAGCGGTGGCACTCTGCCTACTTTGGTTGCAATGAGTGGTTATAAAGCGTCTTATTGTTGTTTTGTCATTTTGAACTAGCATGTCCATTCCTCTTAGAGCTCTGACACTATCACGGGATTTTTTTCCACTATACCGCTATACACTGAATATTTTCTCTTTTTCTCACTGTTGTCTTTAAACCCAAGTGAGATTTGTGAATAAATATCACAGTCGATCAGTTGTTTGTTGATGTCAAACCAGGCCATCTGTCCTCAAACCACCGCGGCATGTTGAAATTAACTCATGCTGTCTTTCCTCCCATTTAGTTTTAACTTCAACAAGCCGTATCTAGATTCCTAAATGCATTGCCTTGATTCAACATTTCTGTTAAAAATCAATTGAACAGCTGTGTCTAATAAAAGGAAAGTGGTGGTTTTCCCAACATGTTTTGCAGCCTTAATCTTTCTATTTACTATATGTATGATTTGAAGTTAAGGTGCAAAGACATCACATTCCATTAACTTCAGAAAGCAACTTTACCTTCTAACCACTTTCTGATCTTACTTTGAGATAATCACACAACCACCAGCTTTGAGTTAGTGATCGTTTTGTGATTTACATTACATAAATTTACTGGGTGAAATTCTTGGACCACAAGAATTTCCTAACCCTAACATGCAGCTGGAATTGCAGATTCAGAAGAAGAAAAAAAATCTGCAGCTTCGACCTGAGCACATGCATAAAACAAGTATGTCTTGTTTACTGAGATAAATTTCTGTCTGTGGGTTGATACAGTTTGTCCTGTGATTTTGTAATCTTTACCAAATCACAGTGAAGGGTTTAACAGCAACGTTAGCATTTTTTGAACCCTTCCATCTCTGTCAGTGCATCTCCCTCACAGAGGGGAGTTTGTTTATCAAACCTTGTTGTTTACAGCTTAGACGATGTTTCATCATGCGCGGGTGTCAGCCAGATGTTGAAATAACCTCAATCTCAGCACTCTGTTTGGTTTTAACTCCATCTCCTGAGGGAGGAAGTAACTTGTGACACATTTAGATTGATAATTTATTTCCCATTAGTTTGATCTTAAGTTTTTTTTTTTTTTTTTTTTTTTTCACTGATGAAACTTGGTGAATAAGGTGAAATGATCAAATTGACAAAATGAGATTTTGGAGGTCACTCTGCAAAAACTTAAATTAGGATAATAGATGCACACTGAAAGGAGAACAAGCAGAACCTATGTAATTATAACAAATTGCTGACATTTTATTAATAGGAGTTGTAGTAAAATAAAAAAAATGTTCCAAAAAAACTGATAACTTTTTTAAGAAATGTTTCCCCTGCATATCAAGCAAATAGAACCAAATCAATCTTTACTTCTTCATGTCCATAAGCTCATAGCAAATAAGATATCAAAGTTTGTTGATATCAGTGTTATTTGAAACCACTGACATATTCAATACCAAATTCTCTTTATTATTGAAATGGATGAGGTCATCAGGCGAAGATCTGACGTGTTTTCCAAAACCTCGAGAAAAAAAGGTTGGAGATGTCTGGGAGTTTGGTAAAGGATATAAAAAGATCAAGCACAGACAGACTCCTGGAAAAAGAAATCTCCAAGAACCTTTAACTTTCATCACACAGTCTGAAGGTAACGCTTGCAGGTTTTCATGTCAAAGTGCGCGTATCTAAAAGAGGAATGCAAAACTCTGTTCCAAATGAGAGACATACCAGTGAGAAGTATTTTATATTGTGGAGCAAAACATATGAAAAGTAAAGGTATTCATGAAGACAACATTTATGAGGAAGTATATATCAAATGTTAATTATAATGGTGAAACTTAATACTTTAAAATTAAACTGGACTAGACATACAAAACAAAATTGAACTTTACTTCGGGAGAGGACAAAACAAAACAAGCGAAAGCCAAAAGTATGTACCTATTTAAATTAACTGATAGTTCCACTCGTGTGTCCTGATAAAAAAGTTTTTTCTTTTTTTTTTTTTTTTTGTGCCATTGTTTATATTAACAATTTTCATTTGGTAGTACTTTTTAGAAAAAGAACCAAATGCTTTCTTGTTATAAAATATTGAAATAGTGGGGTGTATTTTGTTTTCCTACCCATGAAGTCTTATATAATTTTGTTTTGCTCCAGGCTAACCAATGCTGCTGAACCTTTAAAAAGGTAATGAAAATGGAAACGTAAAAAAAAACATCGATGTGTGTGTGATTGACGGAACTTGGTTCATTTTTGTTGCTGGTGATACTGGCAGTGAAAGCTCTTTTGCCCTTTACACTCTGTTGGGTTTTAGGGCTGTCAGCACTCACTCAGACTGCTTGGGGAGTATAAAGATAGAATTGCTGAGAACAGTACATAAGGTGGTTAAGCAAACAAGTGGCTCAAAATTTAGATGCAATATAATCTAGCTCCATTGATTTGCACCTCATATTTTAATCTCCTGAATTGACTCAGGGATCTCATTTATACGACTGGATGTTTTGACATAATTGTCAGATTCTACTTGAAGAAAATGTGGTGTCATGGCTCCAGCGAGTAACATATATATATATATATATAGAAACACTCCCTGGTATTCAATTCTCTTCACAGGTGGACACCATAGTGACACTGGGTGGGCTCGCAGGGAGATTTGACCAAACCATGGCATCGGTTGAGACGCTCTTTCATGCTCAGTCCATGACACAGCTGCCTGTTTTGATCATACAGGAAACAAGCTTGGCATACTTACTCAGACCTGTAAGTAAATTGTATTTCTGGCTTATTTCCATTATCTCCTGTTGATTTGCTACATAATCTAGTGGTCATTCGTTCTAACTATCATTTCCTCTGATTGTTTTACTGGTATAATCTTCAAACCTGGCTTCATATCAATACCACACTACAAAAAAAAATGATGATTAGTCTTTGGAAAACTACAGTTTAAAACCTGCATATATGACTAAAGTTAACTTTATAACTGTGTCGCTTTAGCAGTTAAAATAATTGTTGTTACCATACTTTAAAGCAAATAAATTATCTTTTTTTTTTGCTTTAAGCTTGTATGGAAAATAGATTCCTAAACCCACCAACACCTAGTTGCAGCAAAAGTAAAGCAATAGATCCATTCTGTGGAAGAAAGTATTATATTCACGTAATGACAGCCTCCAAAGACCTGAACTTTTATCATGGTTTTATTATAACTATATGTTCCCTATAAGATGCATATAATTACTGCATACATAAGCAGGCTCAGAATCTATTTTCTTCAAACTAGGCTAACACTGCCCCTGAACAACTTCCAAATCATCCATCTCCTAGGCGCTCTCCCTATTTTCTATTCTCCCTCAAAAATGTTTTTCTCGCTCTGTTTCTACCTTGATTAGAGAGTTGAAAGCTTTGTTTTTTTTTGTCAAGTAATCACTTCAAGAACAAAAACACACATGCACACTCTCACTTCCTCACTCATCTACACACTGCTCTGCTTGTATAATGTCCCAATTTGCTGTTGTGAAAGTAAGAGCTGGAGACTCTCCTGATGCCACTCAAATTGTTCTTTTCTCCGTTTTTTCTATGCCAGCCACTTTCTCATGCTCCGCCAATGATTGAGTTTACAAGTGGGCTTAACACCTGCCTTTTAGAACATGCATTGAGCCCACAGCCACTCAACCTCTCTGCTGAGTTGCTCCTTTCTGAAGTCTTTGGGACAAACAACTGTGATGCCTTCTGATGACCAAAGCAAACCCCACTCTTTTGCTTTCTCGTCATACTTCTTGTCGTTATTCTAAAGGCGCGTTGTCATTTGCTGCTTCATACCTCAACACCTCCAATTAATCTTAACTTCAGCAAGGGTAAATTAAGCTCATTTGTCAACGCAGCTCCAATTTGCCAGTGCCTCACATTCCTGTACATGAAGGTGAGCTCAACCTTCTAAAAGCGCCTCACTGTTTGTTCAAATTACATATGTATTTGAAGTGTTTACTGTCAAACAATTATTCAGAAATCGAATACTCAATAGCACCATGATCATCCATTAAAACGCCACAGAAAAAATACTCTATAAACGTTAAACCCTCAATAAAAAGGTGAAATCCTTCCCTTAATCCCTCATGTTTTATTCAGTAAATTCAGTATGTTTCATTATTTTTGATTAAATCTCTGAATCTGTGAACCACAAATAAGCTCAAATTTAATCAAGGTTGCACCTGTTTGTCTTATTTTATTTGATTCCCAAATAAGGTTTCTGAGTATAATTATGCCACCAGGAAATATGCAGAAGTCGTGTGTTTTCAATCGCAGTCTCAGAACACTGCAAAATTATCATATCTTCTATTAAATTATGGGTAGAGAGACTTTTATTTCTGAGACTCTGCAGAACAGGAGGATGTTTTAATCAGTCTCAGTCTCGAGGTAGTGCTAAATTTGCTTAATTCGAGTCTCATAAATAAATAACGTAAGGACAGAAGGTGTGCTGAGCTCGGTTTGCTTTTCTCTGAAGATGTGCTTTATTGAGTCTCAGTTAACCAGAGTGATATTTACTCTGAGATGTAAGCCACCCTCTGTAGAGGCTCTAGGGGCCCTGCTCTGTGTGTTGTGGGACACACAATGTGCAATGATGCATCTGTCCAATCTCTGCTGTAATTCAGTCCAGCATACTGGTTCAAGCTTTAAACTACAACCTTATTTACTTGCTGCTCTTTGAAGGAGTAAGACTTGTCAGTGAGGCGGCTGATGTAAAAGATGAAATGTGATACTCGAGCGGTGTTAAATCATCCAAGCCTCTCTGCTGGAGTAAACTAAGGAAAGACTTAGCATTTAAATAAAAAGTATAAATAAATACGGAAGTGAGCCAGGATGACAAGTTCTGCCAACGTATATGCGTGTGCATGTGGATGTCAGACCATCGGCACAGAAAAGACATTTCACAACAGTATCTGTCACTCTTCTGCCTCGTTGTTCAACGTGTGTCTAATGTAATTCATAACTATCATGGTAATTAATTTGCCAAATTGCAGCTGGTAGTTACAGGATAAAAGTTCTTTCTTTGTTAAATTAGAAATTACAAAACTGTGGTTGGTGCGACCTTTACTTTAATCACCATGTGACTTCCATTAAACTAATATTAAACCTGTTGCCTTAATAGTATCTTCAGTATTTGCTTATTTACACAACAGAATTAAGCAATTGAGCTATTCAAAATGGGGTGCCTATCAGACGTTGTTATTGCAAAAGTTGTCCATTATATTCCTGCATTCCAGTTAACGTGGTCCTCATGTTAATGGAGACACAGTGGTATCAGCTTCAAGGTAAACCTTGCTCTTGAGGAAATGCGGTTGTTTAACAGCCTATGAATTGATTTAAGGGACACTTTCAAGGTCTACTGTGGAATGATGATGAGCCTACGAGAGCTAGACTAGGATTTTTTTAATTCTTTTCTTGGGACTGTAATGTGAGGAAGAGAAAAAATATGCGGCAGAAGCTTTGACTTTGACTGAAAATTAAGGAATTACAATATTATTTTAACTTATCCATCAAAAAATACCTCCCTGACCTAAATACTTAACTTAATAAAAATCCATCAAAATATATATATTTAACGTTGTAAACTGTAAAATGAAAGTTATTTTGCAGGGAGAAAAAAATACTTTTTCAGTATTTTGCCTGCCAATCACCGATCAGAGCAAATCAAGGCAAAATTGGTTTATTATAATCTCTGGCTTATTAACTGGTGCATCTTAGTCTTGTCAGAAAAGCAACAGTGTGTCAACTGCATATTTATGTACTATTTAAGAATAGTTATGGATTTTTTTAATTTTTCTTATTCCATTTTAAAATTAAAAAAAAGTATTTTATCTACCCTTTTCTATTACTGGCAACATGTCATTCAGTTTTGTTTTTCATGTCTTGGGGAATTTATTTTACCAAAGAAAAACGACCTCTTTAAATGGAATAGGGCATATCTGTAGTTGGGGAAATACATTTTTGCCTTTTATGCCTGTTCTTCACATATTCCCTTTCTGTCACTGTAACACACTTAATCTGTGCTTATGCTTAGAAAATAACCACTGCTTTTTTTCTGAACACCAAAAGCTCCAAAGCCTAAATATTTGCCATCATTCCTTCCTCCTGGCTCTACAGTACTAGGTTGCTAAGCTATGAAAACACTACTTTAAACATACACTTTTAAGTTAATAAATGTGTCAACTTAAAGTGATTGCGTTCATCTATGGGATTGTTATAGGTTTAGGTGACAGATGTTGCTATAAGTACTATGTTTTAAAATGTGGCATCAGAAGCATTCCATATTCAAGAAAAAGCAGCGTGCAAAATTATTCATGCCTCTTAATTTGTTTTCTCATTACAACTGTGACATATTACATTGGAATTCCATGTGGTAACCAACAGAAGCTAGTGTGGAACTTTCAAACTCAACAAAAATAATACATGGTTTTTAATTTGTCTTTCACAAATACAACTACGAAAAGTGTGGATTGCAAAATGGTCACCCAGTAGTAGGAAATCTTTGAGGTTATTGTTAAATACCTTCAGTACCTTCAGTAATGTCATCCAGGTCAGCTTTGGGTATCTATTGCAGTAAGGCTCCGTCTCGCAGCCTGAATTGCTCTAGCTTGATAAGTTTGAATTCACAACGTTATTATAACAATCACAAAGTACCACAGTACAACCAAACCTTTTCAAAACTATTATGGTGCACATTAATATTGTGAAAATAATGCATTTATGATATATCCTGCAGCATTAGAATGCATTTGGATTCAACAACATATTAATAGAATCAACTTAAGCTATATTTATACCTTTATTTACATCTGTAAATCTTTATGTACCAGATTCCAAATTGGAATTTTGACTAATTGTAATTATATCCATATAATGAATTTCTTGCAACTTTGCCATGAAAGCTAGTTTTGTAGAATTCATTATCACTCTTCAAAAAATGTATGGATAACTTTGCAAAGCACTTTATATTCATCCTTTTTTTTCATTCAGCCACATAGCTCGAGGATATCAATAAATGGCAAATTCTGTAGTGTCCCACTTTGTGAATAGGAGGAACCTTGTTTTTGACCTTTCTATATTCTGGCATATGGCTTTATTCAAACCGTATCCTTCACAGGTACATAAATATCTTGCCCTAGAAGATGGACACTTCCTTCTACCTATATTGTGTGAAAATCTTTATTTTGGACTCCCAGTCCCAGTTTCTTGAGGAAGAGAGTGGCATTTAGAAATATTGCAAATGCTTTTTTTTTTCTACACAAAGCAATATCCCTCAATAATAGGCCTCCTTTTAATGTTCATACAATCGTACAATATCATATTAACACTGGCAACTATTTATTGAAAAACTGTACTTGTTTACTTACTGTGAAATGTCAGATTAAAGCTGCTTGAAAATGTAGTTAAAGCTATCTATAAGATGATTTGAGACTCAAAAACTAATTCAATATGTCAAGATCAGTTTAAACTTTGAGAAGTAAAACAAGGTCTACAGTTTTGACAAGAGCAATCATTTATTTTAATGACCCTTGGCGAGTGAGTGTAGAAGCTGAGTTGGGAATAAAGAGGTTTAAGGAGTCCTGCTTCACATTTTCATTGCATTCATATACAGTATCTGTATGCATACCAATTCACATCATTCATGCAATGTGCCTGCAGGGAACCAGCAGACTTGGGGTAAACACCAGCCTGGAGGAAGAGTGGTGCAGCCTCATTCCTGTAGGTGCACCCTGCCAAACAGTCACCACAGGACTCAAATGGAACCTGGGTGAGTCCCTTCCTGTTTACAAGCAGTTATTACGCTCCTGTTTACTTTACATTAGCACTTTGCAGCTTCAGTTCACATACAGTAAGCCAGTGTAGCAGCATGGGATAAACTTCAGTGTTTGAAGTTTGTAGTGAAGGAAAATAATATTTTATCTTCAAGAGGCTTGAAGACTTTAACGCTTGTTTCACAAAGTAAATATAAAATCCAGGCTTGATTTATTTTATTTTTTTCCAAAGACTGGATGCATTCTCACAAGCAAAAGAGTAAATCAGTCAAGTAGTTCGGCGGTTTTGAACAAGTTTCACTTGCAAATGATACACAATGTGCCTCAAAGAGCTTTTTGTCTTCTTGACAATTGTGTGAAAATCTACTGGAAGCTCATCTGAGGACCCCTGTGGTTTTACTCTACTCCAACCCACATGGCCAGCTGTGCTCTTAATGAGTTGGCACAGGCTGAACTGCCACCCATTCAAGGGAACCTGGACCTTCTGTCACCAGGGTTGCAGAATGTGTCTGCTTCTTGGTGGGTGTCCACTGCTCCCGCCTGTATGTGCACGTGTACATTTTTAGGAGCCCGTACGCTTGAGTGAGCATACGTCTGCTTGTTTGATCATGTCGTTGTACACGTTTGAATATTCATATGTGCTTGCACTTCCTGCCTTGTTTATGGACTCCTTGTTGGTGTGTGTTTGTTTTTTTATCTGTTTTTTTTTGGGGGTGGGGGGGAGCTACAATATGTTGTACAGTGCACTTACTTGGCACACCTGTGAAATGGCCTTCTGAATGGTAATGAGAGGGACTTAATACATAAGAGTCTTATGCAGATTAGCCAGTGGTAACAAGATGCATAATTAACCACATGCATATTTAGAGGGCTAGAAGTAATGATTTCCTTCTGGGGTTTGAGTGAAGGACCAGAATATTAAACTAAAATTTAGGACATATTTTTCTCTTCAATTTTGACTTGTGTATGTACAGTAGGCTGTGCTGTGAATTAAATGCAGCTTCTCACCTGTGAGCATTTCAATTTTTGAGTTACCCACACTTGTTTGAAACTTTTCCGTGAAGAAATATGTATATATTAACTGCTGCAGCCTTGCTCATCAAAAGGAGATAGTTTCTTTATTTGAATGTATTTCTTAATTTAAGGGCAGATTTTATTGAAAGTGAACATAACATTTGACATCAGTTCAAATAGATGTGATGACATGTGTTAATTGGCATTTATTCTGCAACACAGTTTATTTCACTGTAGGAAAATTCCCCAGAAAAGTTGGAATAACCTTGGCTTTTGTTCATTCTATCACATTTCTCTTCTTGTTTATTTATAGTTTAAAATTTCTCTGTAATAAATTATAACATACCTATATACATTCAGAGAACTAATAGTTAAGTGTCATAGAAACTTTTCAAAACCAGTGGCCAGAAACTAGCAGGGTTATTAGGTGGGTGAGTGAGATTTGGGGATTTTGCTAATTAGCCCTATAAAGACCACAGAAAGACCACTGCCAGGTGCTCCAGGATGTAGGATAATACAATTCATATTCTGGGGAATATTTGCCAGGAGTTCGGAACTACTATTAGCTCCACATATGGATCATACAGTGAAAGTTATGACAGGAGTAGCTCTCTTGAAATTACTGCCCCAAAAAGCAATATTTAAAACATATTAATGTTGCTGAGAAATAAACCATGGTTATAAAGAAAAAAAAACATAAGAAAATATTTCTAATGGTGATGAGTAAACCGATTAAAGCTACTTGACTAAGTGGCAATTAGGTAAAGCAGTTCTGCTCACCTGGATTTCTTACTGTCAGTCAGGTATATTGAAATCCCAACACCCTGTCCACACTTAACTTTAATTTTTATCTTCTGATGTGAATGCAATTACGAAAAGACAGCAGAACCCTAATAAGTAATGAGTTCTCATGCTAAGACAAGTCATTATTTTATCATGTAGTCTTTCACTGTACCTTTGTGGTGAATTTACTTTTAATTACATATTAACTTGACAGCTGCAGTCCACCACTCGTTGTGTTACAGGAATCAGATTCGACATGCATTTTTAGAAAAAACAAACCAAGAAGTCAGCCATCTGAAAAATCATGTCTGTAAAGGGAAATCACAATTTTATGATGGCGTGTTATGTGTAAACATAGTATTTTTAAGAATAACCATATGTATATATTTTTTTTCTATTAAAATTTTTCGAGATATTAATTCATTCGGTCTCTGACTGTTTGGACTAACTGATAAAAATATTTTTATTCAAAAGGATAGATGACAGCAACATTTCTTAGGTAAAGTGTGTTCAGTCAGCATACAAGAATATCTCTTACCACAAAGTCTTTGTGCTTTGGCATACTATCAACGCATTCAGTTCATTCATCATCTAATAATAATGGCTTTTAAGATACATGTTTCAACTGCAGGTACCTATTTCAGGAGCCAGACTAGTTATCTGAGACTCTTCTTTAGCCTCACTCCATTTTCTCAGCATTTACCAAGTAAAAGCAGATTTTGAGGGCACAAATTTACCTCTGGAAATGACCCCTTTCATTTACAAACAATTCTAGAATTAATTGCAGTGTCTTTGAATTGTTCTAAATTACAAAGTGTAATTGACAATATTTCAAGGGTTTTGTAGGAGTTAGATAAAAAAAAAAAAAAAAACAGCATTTATTTTCACAACCATAGTTTCTCTTGTACAATGATTTGCGGAATGGGATGTTGGTCAACATCAATGCAGTGGGATGAGATCTATGACAAAAAACTCTGTGTTTTGTCATAGATGACCCAGTTTGAGAAAATAACTTATGGGTAAAAAATGTCCCTGGTTTGTTAGTCAAATTTTTCATAAAGTAGCATGCTCTTTATGCTCAACGTGTGTCACAATTACTTTGCTAAAATAATGAGCATAACTTTGAGTGAATGTAACAATACACAGCAAAGCTGAGATGACGCACCATAAATTTTTGACAAGCATCAGCCATTAAAAAAAACAAAAAAAATTGTTTTTTCCTTTTTGATTCAACAGTTAAATTTGGTCTTACGCACTTAACATAACACTATTACCACGAATCAGAAAACATGAACTTCACAAAACATTTAATTGTTTCTGAAAGGAATGATGACACATCAAATTTATTGGTAGCAATAAATTATGACTTCTAGCTTCCCTGCTTGATTGATGATTTATGGTTTGATGGATTCATGGATGGATTATAAGGAATAATAATAATTTAAAAAAAGAAGTCTGATTAATACTTTATTTTTCATTTTATTTTTTTTCACCAAACTACAATTAATCATGTTATTGTTTTGGATTTGATACCAACCTAAAAATAAAAAGTTGATGTTTTATAACATGCTGAACTAACCAGTAGCAAATTTAGTTCTGACGATTTTGGAAGTTAACAAAAACATGAAGTGAATTAGAATCTGTGTTTAAACCTGTAAGTTTTCACCTCATTAGTCTCACATGTTTTCTCTGGATTGTTGCTTTGTAATTATGGAGTCTATACAAAGAAGGAGCCATCATTTCTACCATTACAAAGGAAGGATAGGAAGACACTGCACTAGTGGCTCAAGAGAATTCTATCTAATGATATGTCTGCATTGCGGTAATAATACCAAAGGATTGGTATGTGCTACTGAATAATGATGTGACTGCAGCGTAGTAAAAATAACAATTTTATGATGTAGTTACTTTAGTAATTATTCTTCGGTGTGTATAGTTGTAAAATGCAGCTGGAGAGATAGATGTATCTCAGTTGGCCTGAATCTGGTACGTGTTAACAAGGCTATCACTCACATTCTGTTATAATTCATACCCATCTCTCTTTTTCACACTTTTGTTTCCTGTTTTTACAACCAACTAGTTTACTGTTATCCCCTTCTTTTTTGCCTCTCTCACACTCCTACCATCTCTTTCCTCTCATTAGGAGGGACTGTGACAGCTGAGATACTCACCATTTTGCATGTTACATTAATATTCCATCATTAATCCTAAATTCCCCCTCTGGAAACTATCAGTAAATGCAATCACTGTGTATGTGCTCATCAGATGATACACTGATAGTTTGGTTCATATATTCATAAACAAGCTTTTAATTATACATATATTTGAATTGGGTTGTTGAATTTATGAGCTAGCTCTGGGTCACATTTCCAAATATGATTTCTAGTGAACATTATTTAAATTGTGAAATGCAGAAAGGACATGTCTGCAGCATCCCTAATTACCATATTCTCAATGAAAATATTTGAATTGAAAGACAGAACACGTATATTTTGTTGAAAGATTTAACAGTTTAATACTGTTTTGATATTAACCAACAACTCCTGATCTTAAAATTTCTGTATGTCATGATCTGCTGGATCCTTGTTTTGTGATTTAAGGTGTTAGTTCAGTATTTTTAGTGGATTTGTGTGTATCGACAGCTTCACTTTTAAAGACATTTTTACCTTAAAAGTGATGAGCAACGCTGTTTGTTTTTTTTTTCCCCATGACTTTGCAAACAGCCAGCCATGTTTTTTTTTTTTTGTGTGTGTGTGTGTGTAAGCAAGAGAAATATGTAGGAGTGTTCCGGAAAAAGGACAAGGGAGGGGTGTTGTGCTCATTTAGCATCCAAACCTCTTCCATGCTATCTTTATTGCATAAAAGCCATTATGCTGCCGTGTTTACAGCTGGTCTGTCTTCCACTCAGCAAACTGCATCCTGTTGCAAACCACTGTCAAGTATTCCTACTGATGTCATATCTTTGGTTTATTTTTTTAAACTGTACCCTCGCTGTTTACTAGTATCAAAATATTATTTCTAGCCTAAAACTGTTACAGAAAAATTGTCTATTAGCTGGATGCCATGCATTTTTAATGTATTTTTACAAGTATTCACGGGACGCATTTCTACAACATTAAATAAAATGAAGCGGCATGTCAGCCTTTTTCGATCAGTTTGCTCTACCGTGCTCGGAAAATAACCTTGGATGGCAAAAACT